GAATGGCCTGCAAATAGCCCCGACCTCAGCCCAATTGAACACTTATGGCAATACTTGGACACCTTAGTAAGAAAAGAAAAGGAAATCTTCGAGAACATTGAAGAACTCAAAGAGGCTCTTGAAAGGGCTTGGGATTCAATACCTCTTGAGACAATTGATAACTAAACTGTTTTTCAAAGTCGGTACCGAAAGGACCCGACTTTTTGAAGTAAATGATTCCAAATATTTTTCATTTTGTTTGACATCGTTTTTTTGCTTATTTTTTTCCCTCTTATTTTTTAAAAAACAAACTTGACTGAACCTTGAATTTAGACCAAGCTAAAAAATTAAATAAAAAATAACAAGGAAAATATCAAATAACTTACTTCTTCAAAAATTTTGCTTGACCATATGGTTGTTTTTGCCGTGAGTAAAACCGACTTTTTCTCTTTTCAAAAGAAAATGTTAATGATCCAACAAATAATAAAAATCTTTCAATTTCATTAACACTTACAACACAAAGAAAAGATTATTGAAAATAAAAATAACCATTTAATATGTGTAGTGTTTCAAAGTTTGTTTTTTTTAAAGAGACAACCATAAAATAACAACAAGTTAGAACGATTTATTGTGTATTTTGAAGTGGGGGAGAGTCGTAATGTGAGAGGTAAAATACGGTTATCTCACCCATTCAAACTACTCGTCCATTACCAAAAGGCAAAAATGCCGATTTTTTGAGAATCTCAACAGTGAAAAAGACTGAATAACAGTCTCAGAAAATCGGACAAGTTTGTTCTAATTTTTTGTTAAAATCCCGAAATTTTAATTGAAATTTATAACTGTATTGGTTTTGAGGGTTAAAAAGTCGGTACTGTTTTTTCTTTTTTTCAAATGGAAATTATAAATGAAAACAACAAAAAAACTTTAAAAAACGGGAATTTATTATAAAAGGGTTTCCACTAATAATTGGTAAAGTACCGACTTTTGGCATACAGTTTACATAATGTCGATTCCAAAGAGGTTTGAATTGTGCAAGGAAAACAACGGCGAATTTATCGGACACTTGCTTTAATCCGTTATCATTTTTTTATTTTTTTCTTTTTGAACTCGTTTTATCATTTCTTTGTTCGTCTTCAGAGGATGTTTGTTTGTTTTTTTATATGTATTCAAATTGTTTTCATTATTTTGACTCGAAAAGAAATAACTGTCTTAGAAAAATTGCAAAAGACTTCCCAACGTTTCGACAAATGCCCGAAAAATTACGAAAATAATATAATTTGTTTGTTTTTTTAGTCAAAAAAGTCGGTACCGTTTTTTGTTTTTTTTA